TCACATTAAAATAAAAGATATATAAATACAACCTGTTAACTTAAAATGTGACTTTTACTTGGGAGGCTGAGGGAGGAAGACTGTAGGTTTGAGGCCAGCCTGGGCAACTTAGAGAGACTGTGTCAAAATAAAAAATAAAATAAAAAGGGTTAGGGATGTAGCTCAGAGGTAGAGTACTCCTGGGTTCAATCCCCAGTACTGCCAAAAATAAATAAAATGTTCCTTTTTTTGTATTTCATTTTGAAAGAAAAACATACAGAACAAATAGGTTTGTGACATAACTTTTCAAGAGTTTTCACTTAACAGATTTTAATTAGATTTTGGAACAAGAGCGAACAGGCTTTTAAAAATCATATTTAAATGAAACCTTGCTACTGAATATAAGACCAAGAATGACCATTAATAGGAATTTTCAATGTGGCCAGTTTGATGTTATTCCCTCCTCACCTTACCCTGTTGTATTAAAGAAATCTCCCCAAACATAACTACTAAAACCATAAAACAAAAAACAAACAAAATTATTTTTATCAGTTTAAACTATGAAAAAAAATCTCATCTCAGTAAATGCCAGGTTGAGTCATTCCCTTTTTTGTCCTGACAGGTATCTTGTTTAAGAAGCCACTTTAAATTTTCCTAGGGTCATTGCATTTCTTGGAAATCTAATACTTTGAATTCTCTCTTTGCAGTAAAAATGCTATTTAAATGCTGATTAAATACATGCCTGCCTTCCCATAGATTATCTTATCAATCTGACATGGTATCCTCAAGTAGAAATACACTAGGTATTTGTTTTCTACTAAAACCATAGTACTTATAAAAGAAAAAACAATTCCAAGCAAATTTTGCCCCAAACTTTTCCTTATAGTTTTTCAGTAACTTTTACTGTCTTATCAACTGTTCATAATCATTTTAAATTTGTGTGAGGCTGCAACTGTTTTCATTATGGATTGGTAAAATGCCCTGACAAAGGAGCAAGCAGCACTATTTGGATGTGGGTACTGCTACAGACCAAAATGGGACCCTGAGGCAAACCACTTAGCTGTAATGGCTGTTTTCTCACCATAACCGGTTAGGCTAAAAAATGCCAGTCAGAAGGTAATTTAGAAAGTTGTCTTTATTATAATCCAAAGACAGGGGTAAATTATAATTTTTATTCCAGTTTCATTAACATTGGCTTTTCTATTACACAGATCCTAACTTCTAAGCAAAGAACGTGTAACAGACAGGGTGTTCTATACCAACAAGACCCACCTCATTCTCACAGGTTCTGTGGCTCAATGACAGGAAAGCTATAGTGGAAGAAGACAAATACTCAGAAACAGCTGTCACTTCCGCACCTACTCTGCCTTGCCATCTTTTCCAGAGGCAGACAGAGCTGCAGTCACCTACCATGTGCAGCCTCAAACCATCATGTTTTATGGAATCACACTCCTGGGTCTTCGACGCAGGACCTTGTATTTTCTGGGCACTGACTCTCTTGTCTCTCAAACACACAAGCATCTCTCTCACCTTAAACAAGGTAACACAGGCTTCACCTGCTTGATACATTATCTGCACTGCTCTTTCCTTATAGGCAAAGTAGACCCCAGTGCTTTCTTGTCTCCTCCCAGGCCTTAGGAAACAGAAACAGTGACAGTAACCAGCTGGCTGCCTCCAATGTACATTACTTGACTGAATCCTCACAACTCACCACTGTGACTGTTTTACAGATGAGGTGCCCAATAATTACAGGGAATTAGCTCCAAGGTATTGGATCAAGTGGGATTGAACTCGGGGCCCATTTCCCATTATAAGCATGGCCTTGAGTTCCTGAGCAATGGGTCACTAGAGAAGGAGTCCATGGCACTGCACCCCACTTTTCCCAGGCTTCTTCTCCTTCTATAGTCTCTACCCACACCCAGCTTTGACTCTTGCTCTATCTAGAAGCTGTCTGCCACGGCCCCTGAGCATCTGCTGCAAGTCTTAGCAGCTTCTCATCACCATGACCAGCTTTTCCAGGGAAATATTTCTACATCCATCTCTCCCATTCCTTCCTCCAATTGTCACCATTTCCACTTGAACACCTCACCATACACTAGCTGGCCTTCCCATAGCTGCCCAAGCCCCTTCCCACATTTATCGTTCCCACTTTTAGGATTATCTTTCAGGGACTCAGCACTTGCCCTGTTCTACTCAGAACCACATTGTCTATCACTACTGACCAAACTGTCTCTGCAACTAGGATCCAACATAGCATATCATTTTGCCAGCATTTTTTAAACTCCCTGGTTGCATAAAGCTGGCATTTTCCTCCTTCCTCTCCCTCGGTCTATTTCCTTACCTTTCCCTCTGTTCCTTCCTACCTTCAACCTTTCCCAAACATGTTTTCCATCCTTAAAGATCTCTGGAAGGGAAAACAATTCCTGTTCCAGTGTGAAGGTAATACATCATACCAAGCAGAAAATATCATAGTAACAAACACTGCTGAGCTTTTTCTGCAGGTAAATGAGTATCTAACTACACAGAAGCCACTGACTTGACAGAGCAAAAGCTGTACCTCAACAGTGTCACTTGCACCCTGCCATCAAGGACAAAGAAGTAAACAGGTAGGTTGTCTACAAGTTACTTCATGACATATTCCACTCCCAGGAGCTAAAGGTGCCCAGAGAGGCACTGGGGAGTCACCTGGTAAGGAAGTGGTAGGAATGCTCAACTGGACAGACAATCCACACAAGTCATTCATTCCTACTTTACTCCTGTTGAGGCAGGACCCAAAGATGACTGTAGCTGGGACCCTTCTTTGAAGAGCACATGGCCCTTGGGGGAGCTGCAGTCACCAAAGCTTCCCTTCCACTGTGAGTCTAAAATTCTGCCATGGACTTTCCAGAGTTAGCATTTAGTTGTACACTGAACACTCACCCAATCTCCCCAAAAAGAATGGTAGTCACTTCAACCACACCTCAGACATGGTACTTTTCTCCTCAATTAAGGAGGTTCATTCATTGTTAAAACTGCCTGGCAACTCTCAGAGCCTCAAGAAACATCCCTTCATCACTGTTCAGACATTTTCTAGCATAAAATAGACTTACATCTAAAACCTTTTCAAACATCCTTCCCATTAATCCTGCAGAATTTTGCTCTAATTGTAACAGGAGAGATTTTTCCATTAGCCAAAGCAATCAACTTTTGGGAAAACAAAACACACGAACAAACAAAACCTTAGAATCATTGCTTCAGACTCTCTGTTCCCCTAGTCAGACCATGACAACCTGGCACCTGGCTGGAGATAGAGGCCGCCCATTTCAAGCTTTCTGGTCCATCCCAAGGCCCAGTGAGAGAACAGTCTGGCTCCCTCAGACCCCCACCATAAATCAGGGCACAGCTTTATACTGCACCGGAGTCTCAGCAGGAAGAGGAATGGGATTTGTTTGTTTGGTCCCTCTGTAGCCTTGTGTCTGGAGCAACTGATTCACTCAGCAGACACTGGCTGGCTGAATAAACACTCGCTCAGTTGTGCTACCTCCTATTCAAGGAAGCCCACTTGGGCTGCGCAGTATCCTTGCTCATTTCCCCCATAAACATACAAAGCCCTGTCACCTCTCCCATCTTCTGGGACCCAAGGTTCTTGAGGAACAGCTGGACAGTGAGAGGAGATGTCCTGAAAATCCACATCCAGTCCAATTTCCTCCATCGGTCATACACTTTGCTACTCCTAATAGTCATCACAGGCCACACAAGAGGGGAAAATTGCTGGAGAGATCAGCTCTGGTTTCAGGCTTCAACAAATTATAAGTGCATAGAATTTTTACTCCAACTCAGAACTCCCAGAAGTGTTTCCCAGCAGATGGGCTCCTCAGGTGACCTTGTTGAGATGCAGAAAACTAAAGTTTTTCACTTTCGTTTTCTAATTTCAGGATTTATTAATCCATCTTTCCAAATCATGGTGCTCTTAAATAACATGATTTACCTGTGTCACTTATTTACTACAAAAGAAGACTATTTCAAGAGAAAAGATTTAAGAACTGATTAAACCATCTAACTCATTTTAATTTAGGGATATGAGAAAGGTTTTTAAGTTTGACTAAGTATACTACAAATGATATAATAATTTCATGTGTAGGAAAGAGCATTTAATTTTACATTTGGAATGTCACAAACATAAGCAGGAATGCAGGAAGAGTGGGTGTGGAATCAACCCAGAAGGCAGGAGACAGCTTTCAGGTCTGTTCTGCAAACCTTTAACATTTAACCAACAGAGCACAACAGTCCAACCTCTTCCAGTGGAGAGTTATAAAAATAGTTTGCTCATTAAAGTATGTTAATGTCCCCTTTGGAGCCTAAACATCTGATTGTTCAGAGACTGTTAAGTCGTTCTTAATATGTGAGATATTCTGGGTTTTTGCAGCCAGCAGAGAAGGTGAAAGTCAGAACTCACTGGGACCCAAGAGAAGGGGAAGCCCTAGCAAGTTTCCAAGAACAGCAACACAGATGGATGGACTATTCTCCATATTCTGGGTTCCAGTTAGTCTGCTCCCTTGGCAAGCAAATACCTGTTCACTACACGGGCTTTTCATTTCAAAGGCAAAACCGGGCGGGGTTCAACTCAAAGGAGAAGTTCCTCACAACCCATCTCTCTTCCCAGAGCCTTGGAGAAGATCCTGTCCGAGCCTGGGGCCTCGCCCCCGACTGCAAACAGCGCCCTGCCAGCCGCGTCACCAGGCGGCGGGACACTGAGACTCGGCGGGCACTGGGAAGGAGCAGCACCCACCCACTCCCGCACTGGGTGACAAACGATTCCATCTCAAAGTCTTCACCCCTCCGCGGCCCCCTTTCCCACGCTCCCTAGCCCTGGCACGCTCTCCCCCACGTCCCCTCCCCCTCGTCAGCCCCTCCTCACACCCCCTCCCCCTCGCGGAGCCCTTCCCCTCAGGGGCCCCTTCCCTCAGGAGCCCTTCCACTCTCGGAGGCCCTTCCCCTCACGACCCGTCCCCCTCGGCCCGCCTACCGTGCCTCCGGCTCACCGACATGGCTGAGCCGGCAGCTACCCGGCGGCCCAGCCAGGGGTCCCGACGCGCGGCGGCGCTTCCGGAGTGAGCCCGCTAGGCCCGCCCACATGCGGACCGTCCAATCCGGGCCCGGGATGCCTGCCGGGTACGTCAGTCATTCTCGTTCCTTCCTCGGATCGGCTGGTTCCAAGGTTCAGGGCGTGTCCGAGCCTCGGGCCTCGCCCCCGACCGCCTCGCCACGGAGTCTGCGCGGAGGGCGCCGAAGGGGCGGCCTCGGACCTGGGAGGGGGCGCGCCCGCGGGAGGCTGGCGCTGGGGCGCAGGTCCGGGCGCGAGCGCCGGGGAGGAGATCCTGGCTGGCGAGGCGGAATCCCGAGGCCTGGGGGAGCCGGGTCCCGGTCGCTCTGCCTCTGTGCGTCGCCGGCCCATCCCGGTCCGGTGGCTGCGCGGGACCCCGGTTCTCGGCCGACCTGCGCCTCCGCGGATTCGCGAGTGTGCGGTCCGCACGTGGTGCTTGCTGGGCGCACGGACCTGGGGCGGCCCCGTCCCGAGCGCCCCGGGGAGGCAGGGCCGGCAGGGAGGCGCCCTGTTAGGGACGGCGAGAGCACGCGCGCGGGAGAGGCGCCGCCGAGCTCCGGGCTCCCGCCGTCCGGGAGCCGCGGAAGGTCCTGGGGCGCGAGGTAGCCTTGGGCTCTGCGGGCCGCGGAGGCCAGCGGCGGTCGGTCGGCGGCGCAGTGGAGAGTTCCGCTGTGCCTTCCAGAGGTGGTTAGCCGCCGGCTGGAAGCCGACTTCCCTGAGGGGATTGGGAGACTACTTCGAGTTAAAGGCAGTAAGAAAGATGTCATCGGCTCGCATCTGTGTTGTGCCTGGAGGTTGTGGCAAGAGGTATAGTGTGGATGTGTGCGAAGGCAGAGTAAAGGAAGTTTACTGGCTGATCCGAGGGGCTGTGACTTTTGGAAAAAGGGAAGTCTAGAATGGACCCGAGATTTTCTTCTGGAAGCTGTAAAGTTGGAGTTGCCCAGATGAGGTGAAACCCTTGGGGGATCTTTTTTGGGTGATGGTGTGCAGCTTCAGACAGGTGACATTCCAGATGCTCACAGGATGCATACACCCTAGTGATCAGGAAGGACATGCCCCAGGAAGACCCCCCAGGCCGACATGTCTTCCAAGGACAGCCCTTAGGGCCTCAAACCTTTGGAAAGTGGGGAGATGAGGAGGTCCTAGCTGCAGCCCAAGAGAGGGGGTGTGGCCAGAAGAGAGGGAAGAACAGGGAGTATCACTAAGCCGAGTCAAAGAGATCCTTCTTCCCAAATGATGCTGATAGGTCAAGATGAGGACTGGCCACGTACAGTTGGATTTGTCAAGGGCAAGCCATTGATGACTTTGATCACAGTGATTTATTGGAATGGTAGAGGCAAAAACTTGATGGATATGCACAAAGAGAATTGTAGGGGAAACCCTGAAGAAGCTGGACCTAGGCTACCCTCTAGTAGGGCCAGGAAAGTGGCTGGTGGCTAGAGGGGTTTTTAACACAAAGTTTGTGTGCCAATTTGGCCTGCTCAAATTGATATTGGAAAATAAGTCCTGTAGGAGAGAGGGAATAAGTGCTGGGATAATGCCCTTCCTTAGGTTACCCTCAAACTTCTTGTTCTTCATCTCAATCATTCTCACCAGCATTCAGGCCTATTCTGGACCTTCCTATGTTTCAGCAAAATCTTCCCAGGAACCAAGTATTTTCCTCCAGCACTGCTTCTTCAACCATACCCTATTCTTGAAAGACTTGACTACAGAGTCAGTGTCCATTTTGACATCTTCAGTTGACTTCGTGGCCCAACCCATCTTTTCCCTCCATCCCGTCAGTCACTGTACCTACTTCAGCTACAGTCCCCAAGGACTTACATGTCACCAACTCTAGCACAAACTTATTGGTCCTCCTATAACACTGTTCGCAGAAGCACCATAAGCCCAGCTGCCACATCAGCTTCTGGAGACATCATTGCTTCCTCACTTCCTCCTCTCTTCCCACATGACCCATCCAGAAAAATCTCAAACATCCTTGTAACATTCCTTACTTCCCCTGCCAAATTTGTGTTTTCATCATCTCTCACTGAGATTTCTTTAGGCATTTAAAAATTGATCTCCCAGGTCCCACTCTTCTTTTCTCATTCCCACCCCATCATCTTCTTTTCTCACTGCAGCCAAAAAGATCTTTTAAAAATTCCACTGCCATTTAAAAATCCACGGTAATCCATCACAGCAACAAGGCACAGAAGAAAAATCATACAATCTTAACAACAGGTACAGAGAAAACTTTTGATAAAGTGTAACGTCTGTTCATGATTGCAAAACAAAAAAACAAACAAAAAAAACCCCTGAAACTCAGCTAACAACAAATAGAAGGTGACTTCTTCCACTGGATAAAGAACATCTATAAAAACTCTACAGCTAGTAATAAAAGACTAGCAGGTTCTCCACTAAGAACTAGAATCAGGAACTAGAATGTTCCCTCTCACCATTGTTTTTCAACACCATACTAGAAAATCTAGCTAATATAATAAGACAAGAAAAATAAATAAAAGGTATATAGATTGGAAAGGGAGAAATAAAACTCTTTTTTTTTTCTGCAAAATTGCCCTGCTCAAAATCATACATTGGATCTTCACTGTGTGTATGACACAATTCTAAGTCCTTAAAATGTTATAAAAATGCTACTCTCTCCCTTACTCACTTAGTTCTGTTTATTCTAATTGGTCATTTAGAAGAAAAAGCACTAAGTCTTCAGGCCTGCTCTTCTGTCAGGAACCCTTTTACAACCACTGCCTAAATCCCTTTCTTCTTTAAAGTTCTGACATGCCAATTTCTGACTTCTTCTCATCTACTCACTTTTACCTAGAACCTTGCTGGTAGTTCTCTTTGACGCTGTGGGGCTATGGGTATTACTGGGGATGTGGAGGTGGAGGGAGTAACCCTTGATCTTTGGGGGATGGAAGTCATCTGAAAACACATCCCACCTTCCCATTCTCAGGTACATTCCATGCTGTGCCTTAGAGAATTCCTGGGGAGATTTAGGCCAGTTGCCTTCAGGAATGACCAGCCTGCTAATGCATCTTCCACTAGCTTTTTTCCCCCCTCTATTTCCCTGTCTCTATTTCCTCTATTTTCTGGGGATCCATCTCTCAAATATAGTATCTGCACTCAAGTCCTTGTCCTAGGTTCTCCTTGGGGGAGAACCTAGAGGAAGATTTAACTTATTACTTGCTCAGCTCAAAGAGTTCTTCCCCGACATCACACACTATTAACAGCACTTTTCATTCACCAGCAACACTCTTTATCTTTCCTTCAGTGAATCAATTGTATTTGTGATTGCACATCATTCCTGTGACTTTTAACATGACTTCATACCTAGACTGGAAGATCCATGTGTTTAGTGTCTCTTTTTTGGTTCTATGGTAAAGGGCATCTCATGAATCTAACCAGGATCTATCCCGACATGGCCTCTGTTGCTGAATTTGCCAGATTGCTGTGGGTTGTCAGTACAACTTCCAGGAGATGAATTCTTTTCCCCTGGCTCGGGCCATCTATGTTCAGCCTTATCAAGCAGAACAGGGTCAGAGCGTCTGGACCAAATTCAATAATAAAGAGATGTTGTCCGTGGGGTCCCAGGGCACCAGGGGTGGATCCCTCTTTCCTAAGAACACTAGGACTAGCCGGTGGATAGTAGGAAGTTCCGTTTTACAGTGCCTACAGTCATGACATGCTCTAAGAGCAGCTGAGTGCCTTGAAGACACTAGAGGACGTATCCTGTTCTGTACTGGCTCTCTATGTCCAATAAGCCCTGTGGTGGTGGTGGTGAAGACCTCACACTGCAAATCAGTTCTTATGAATGCGCCGGCGGGTCCCTAATGTCCGTTAAGCACTGGCTGAGCCTTCCCGGGTGTTGAGTGATGTGTGTAGGTAGGTTCCCAGGCTAACTTTCAAGCAAGTTGAACGGTTGTCCTGTGTCCCAAGCCACCGCGGTCTCAGAGCCCTTGGTGTCCCCGGGTAACCCGCCGCTCCTGGCGCAACAGTTGGGTCCGGTGGTGCAGCCGCCCTTGCGGTCGAGCTGTGCGCGCGCTCCCGGGCTATGCGCGCCTAGAGACCAGGCTGCAGGGTAGCCGCCGCGCCGCGGCCTGGGCGCTCCCCCGAGGCGCGCGGGCGCCGGGCCCTTCCCCAGATGGAGCTGCGCGCCGGCCGCCCCCCAGTGCGCCGGTGCCTCCCCGGGCTCCAAGTGCGCAGGCGCCGGCCCCGAGGACCGACAGTGCGCGGGGCTGGAGCGCGGTCGGAGCGCACGGTGGCGGTGGCGGCGGCGGCGAAAGACTGAAGGATCGCTGGCGGACGGCGGACCCATACACCTAGGAGCTTAGGAGCCGGCGGCTGTGCCGCACGTGCCGCCTGGCTTGAGGGGTGGCCACCTAGCCATGTCACCTAGTACCTGCTGAACTAGGAGTGCTTGAGGATGTCCGCGCTGAGGAAGGTGCGAACCGCCTGGGGCGGGGGGAGGGGGACCGACACTCCGGGGCGCTTGGACCTCCAGACCCGTAGGGGCAAGTAGGGGGCGGTGCGGTGTGATCAACCTGCGTGGACCCTCTGAGAATGGCTAGATGGGGGCGGGGGCGGCTAGGGGACACCGGGGGTAACCTGTGTTAGGGGATTCTTCGCTGAGCTCCTCGCTGGGCTGCGGCCGGACCCCGGGTTCCTGGGGTACAGGAGCCTGCCAGGAGCTGGGTGAGGCGGAGGTGTGAAATTTCCGGTGTAACCCCGCCGGGAGGAGCGCGACCCGAGAGCGCCGGCTGGCGAGGGTCTGCACGCCCGGCTCCTGGAGGCAGCTGTGGGGGAACGGGGGCAGCAGCCAGCTACTTGCATCCGCCCTCCCCCAGCCCAGGTGGGAACGCCGCCCAGGCTGGAAATGAAGGGAAGGTGCTGCGCAGCTGGGCTGTGCGGGGTGGTCGTGGAGGCCGGGAGGGGTCATCTGAGCTGGGTCGCAGCGGCTGTCGCGATGAGCGCCACCACAGGCTGCTCTTCGGGAGGGGGTGGCCGCCGCCTGCTCTCCAAGTGCGAGCAGGAGCACGGGGGCTTTTTTAGGGGTGGTTGCTAAGCGAGGCGCTACCCAGCGCAGGGTTTTGTAACTAAGCCTCCCCCGGCAGCGGCTGTTGCTGTTCTCGGGCTTCTTCGCTAACGATCGCAGCAGAAATAATGAGGATGTAATTATTACAGCCTGCGCGGCGAGGGGGTGGGGGGCGGCGAGCACCGGCTCTTCTGCCTGGCACTGGCCAGGTGGGGCCGGGCGGGGTGGGGGCTGCTCTCGCTCCTCGGCGTCCTCCTAGCGCGTCTGTCGCTTGGAGCGAGCGGGACCAGGACCTGGGCGGGGGCTCTCAGGAAAGAGTACAGAGGTGGGGAGGGACGGCAAGCAGAGCGCTCCGCTAGGGATGAGGGGTCGCAGGTGCAGAGCCGAGCGCGGCGGCTGTGGGGTGCTTTGCATCCGAAACTCCACGTCTCCTGCGTGGCTTTTCCCCACTTCTTAGCGAACATTGTGCCAGCCACCCGCTTGTCGCTTCTCTTAAACGAATGACGATTTCGGCTAAGGTTGGAATCCGAAAAGCGTGACTTATCAGCAGCGGCGGTCTCGAATCGATTAAAAATAAAGCGATGGGTAGCCAGTCCATCCTCTGCCTTGGCTGATCTGCCGGCCCGGGCTGTGGGTGGCGAGGCACACCGCGCAGCCGCTCCCCTGGTGTCCGGAGGGTGCTCCGACGGCACGGGGCCTCGGGCTCACTCTCCGTGACCCGCTCACGGCCCTTAACTTCCTATCTGAGTGGAGCCACGAACCCAGTGATGTGTCCGTACTTACCGAAGACTCGCTGCAGAAGGTGAATCAATCACATTTGTAATTAGAAGACAACCCAGTGTCTTGGATGGCCCCAGGGGAGTTCGGGCACCCTTTCAGGAGGGCTCCTCCTAGGTCTCCAGGTCCATCTCGCCTGGGAAGTAACAACCCTGCACCAGAGGTTAAAGTGCACCTCAACACCATTCTGCTCTTACTCCCTTCACGTTCTCTGTGGAAGGTAATAGAGCGTAAGGAGAAAGAAAGGTGAAATGATGAAAAAGATGGTAAATTTTGGCAGGTCAAATTGTTACTTTGGTGTTTAAAAAAATGTCATTAATCAGGATTTTTCAGTAGCCAAATCGTCTTGTGCAGGCAGCTGGGTGACTCACAGAGTTGGCGCCCATGGTAATTGTAGAGTATATGTACTGTTTCCTTTTAGATGGTGTGACTTTTCATTACTTGGACGAGAACAAATTAGAATGTTTTATACCCCACATCTGGCTGCATGGCTGGGCTCAAGCACCCAGAGCTGGGAAGATGGTGGACCTGGTGAGAGAAAGTAGGAGGAGTCCTGCCCTAACCCTGTTATCCACTTCCTATTACTCAAGGTCTTTCCCGAGAAATGTGGGATTTGTTCTTAAAGACAAGCTGTCCGGGCACTGGCACTGTGTCTGTGAGCCTTCTTCCTGCCCCTTTGCATCTCCTGCATCACCTGCCTCCTGGGTTCTTGGTGAAGAGGTCAGTGGAGGGGCAGTAACTTCAGTTCTTGAGGCATCATGTGCATTTGTATGCTGCATTTTAGGTTAAAGGGTAAACTTAGTAAGCAGAGTACCATGTCAAATAATATAAATTGATGAAATTAAAATTTTCTCTGAACAAGGATTTTTTTTTTTTTCTCTCAGAGAAGCACTCTAGGTCGACTTCACCTTACTAAGCATTGTTCCCTTTCCTTTTAAAGAGCTTTGCATTTACTATCCAGTTATCCAAAGTGGTGCTCCTTGAGGCAAAAAGAAGCATACTTATTTACTTATGTTTTTGTGTGCCTCAGGCTACCTGTGTTCTGGATGGGATAATAATGATGTTTTTATAGATTTCAGATCTCATTACATTTTTTCTCCCCAATGACATGTATGTCCTTCTATGGCAATTCATAGCTTTTCCAATTTTCATCCCCTTTATTTTTGAAATTGGTGGAAATTCCAAACTGAATATTAAAGGCAGATATATACTTCACAAAATCTAAATAATATTGAATTCTGTGTGCCTGAAACCTGATCAATTCTGAAATTTGAGGAAGATAATATTTTTTAAGTATCAGAGAATTTGTTATTTTCATCTTTTTTTTTTTTTTTTTGTACTGGGGATTGAACTCAGGAGCACTTGACCACTGAGCCACATCCCCAGACCTATTTTGTATTTTATTTAGAGACAGGGTCTCACTGAGTTGCTTAGTGCCTCACTTTTTGCCAAGGCTGGCTTTGAACTCACGATCCTCCTGCTTCTGCCTCCTGAGCTGCTGGGATTACAGGCATGCATCACCATGCCTGGGGCTGTTTTTTCCCCTTTAACACATTATCTCCCATAACGTTGAAATTGAGGAAATTTCATAATTCTTTTATAATGATATTTGAAGTAAAACCTCTCAGATACCCAAAAAATAGCTTGAAATGCACTTTGATCATAGATTTATAAGGAAGTTAATTAAGTATATTATCTATGGACCTTTGGAATGGATATTCCATGGTCATTCAATGGCCATGATAAAATCACCATGATTCATTGTTTGGCCAGATGGGAGTCATATTCAAAGCATCACAGTAGGTTGCTATAAAAGAATTACAGCCTACCACACAGGAAGTTGGGAGCAAAAACATTCTATGCAGTTGAAGTATTCTTAACCACAGTTTTACCTAGTAGTTGTTATTCATCATAGAAGAATTCCTGGCTCATTACCATTTTAATGGTATGTTGTTTCTAGGTGCTCGGTGTGTATAAAGCTGAGTATAGTAATTCGCATGTCTCATGACAAAAGCACTCTGGTTTTCAGGAGGTCAAGCATCTGGGCCGACTGGTCATGGGTTGTAGGCTGTGCAGACTCCAGTGTAGATCTGCAGCTGCTCTTGGTCAGCTCCCCTTCTAGGTGTTCAGAACAGAGGCAGACAGCAGATTTGGATTCCACATTAATCTCCTTGACAATGGCAGCTGGCATTCATATGTGAACCACTGATTTTCTTTTTTCCTGCCATTGTTCCTTGCTTTGACTTCATCTACCCATGAGAAGGCTTCTCCCACCATCAGCTCTGGGTTTCCTCTCACTATCCTTCCTCCTAGCTCCAAGAGCAACTGCAGCTTCTTTTGGCTGTTCTCCATCCCCCACAAAGGGCACTATAGGTGCTTCTAAGATTCACTCCCACCTGGGTGCCACTGGTGATTTTTTATGGGATACCAGTTCTTGAACATTGTATCTTTCTTTCCTGATGTTCCAGGAAAGTTAGGTTAGGTTTACTGGCCAATTACAATGAGTTCTGGTGTATTTGTGCAGTATGAATTTATTCCAAGACCCTTGGAAGGAGGATCCCCAACTCAGGGTATGGCTCTGGCAGGCCAACCTCTTGTGGTCACAGGAGTCTGTCCCTCTCTTGAGTCATTAAATCATCAGAGAACAGACACTCCACTCAAGCCTATAATTTTATGTGTCTTTTGAGGAGAGGAAAGTGTTAGGAAATAAGGCGTGGAGATACTGCGATCAGCACACAGCTTTACTTGCCAGAACACAAAGCCAACTCTGGGCCAGCACCTGTCTATAAGAGAAAAGGACAATGCCCATAACTGGAGATGGTGACCTGACCCTGATGGCAGTCTTGGCCAAGTACAAACCAAAGTACACCAGAACCGTCACTACCCCTTGATCTTAAGTTATGTGAACCAGGAAATTCTCCCTTTGAATTGGGTCTTCTTCCCTGACATCCAAATGGGGTGGGTTTAGTTTCTTCAAAAGTTTCCATGTCAAAGCTTTCATTGTGGGGTAAAATTTGTTCATTACCAGGTGATATATATATATATATATATATATATATATATATATATATATATATATATATTATCCAGTATGCTTCTTATGAGGGAAAAAAGGAACAAAATTTAAATCAATCATTTCTGGAAATGAATAGACATTTGGAATCAGCTCATCCTTAAAGCTGTAGCAGCAGTTTTAAAAAGTAACCTTGTGAAAATAATTGGTCATTGTTTTAAAAATTATATCCCAAGTCAGGTGCAGTGTCCTATGCCTATTATCACAGCAGCTCAGGAGTCGTGGCCAAAGGACAGAAATTCAAGGCCAGTCTTACCAACTTAGCAAGGCTTTAAGCAACTTGATGAGACCCTGTCTCTAAATAAAATCTAAAAAAGGACTAGGAATGTAACTCAGAGGTAAGTGCCCTTGGGTTCAATTCAATAACAAAAGATACCCCATACTTTGCACACAGGAGGGAAGCTAGATAACAGGTTCCAGAATACAGTTAAAAGGAAAAAAGTGGGAATTACCCCCTCAGGCCCATAAAGTACATATGTTAAGCCAATCAACATTAAAAAACCAACCAACCAACCAACAAACATGCTTTTGTGCTTAGTGAACATTTGCTTTGCTATTT